AAAAGTGCAATAACATTTGGTTTGCAAACACTTTAAACAAATACGTTTTTTTGTGTGCTTTTTTTTACAGCAGTATTCCTTTTACATAGTAGCAGTTATAAAATATTTATTGTAAATCTCAACTTAAACATTAATGTAATCAAATTAAGTATAAAACCAAAGCTATTTGCCACTGCCAGGGCATTAAGGTTTTTATAGAGAATATTTTATAGTTTGTTATAGAAAAACAAGTTATGTTTGAGTTCAGAGCCTCCATCATAACATTATAACAGACACCTTCCGAGTAGAGACCTGCACTATCGCAGGACCCAACGCAACAGAGTGAATTTGATCAAAAACACAGTAAAAAAGTGGAATATTATTACATATTTATTTCTGTGATGCAAAGCCGAATTTTCAGCATCATTACTCCAGTCTTCAGTGTCACATGATCCTTCAGAAATTTTTTGAATATGCCGATTTGCTGCTCAAGAAAAATGTCTTATTATTGTCTTAAAAACAGTTGTACTTAATATTTCTGAGGAAAGTGTAATACATTTTTGTTAATGATTCTTGGATGAATATAAAGGAATATAAATATTTTGTAACATCATAAATGACTTTGCCACAGATTTTAATGAATCCATGCTGAAAACTGAAGTATTAAAAAAACCTGACCTCATACTTTTGAACAGAAGTGCAAATCTAATAAGAAATGTATTTGATTAGGGTCAGGTGAACCAGAAAAAATCTCAGGGTGTATTCAGACCTGTCTTGCTTGATTCGACTGAATCAAACTCAAGTTCGTTTCCAACCTTGGTGCAGATCTTTTGGGAAGGTGTGAATACAGCAATCGCACTCGTGTGCGGACCAAACAACTATACTGAGACCCAGCTGAAGAGGTGGTCTCGGTCCGGCTCCAAATGAACTCTGGTAAGGTTAAATGGATGAACCAATGAATGGATGACCTTAGCACACATGTGGTTTTGTTTAATATTTCTGGTTCACTTGCAAAAAGGGCAGTGTGAAAGCAAATCACACCAAAATATATATATATATATATATATATATATATATTCAACACTGTATTTGGTCTGGACCAAAGCAAGTGAACTAGCGAACTTTCCAGGTGTGAATACACCCTCAGTCACAGGTCTTGCTTAACACAATTAGCTGCATAGCAGTTCAGGTAACCCACTGACCAGCTGGTTTTAAAATAAATAGTTTTGCAAGCCTCTAATGGGGAGCAACGTGTAAATTGTTTAGCATTAATAAAGTTTTTAATTCCAAATCATCGTCTTCTCGCAACTAGTTAACTTAAATGAATTGGTTCAAGTTCTCCACATTAGATTACACACAGAGAATACTTCATTACATTGATGCAACCTTAGGGTTACAGTGCACTCCAAGCACACCGACTGCAATAATCTACAAGCCCATTACACATAAACACAGACAACTGAGCATCTGGTGAGAGAGAAAGAGAGTCAGAGAGAGAACGAGGGAAACAGCATCTGAAAATGAGGGTTGCAGAAGTGGCGCTCTCAGAAACCGCTCTCTCACCAGAGAGATTCACACAATCTGCCACAGAGAGAAAAAAAACACACACATAGACACAGAGAGAGTGCTGCACTCCACACGCATGGGTAAAAACACTCTCTCACAGACAAAAAAAACAATTTCTGCAGCGCTACCACAACCACAACTGTGGGACGAGAGAGGAAAATGAATGTTCTCCCAAAATAGGAACAAAACAAAAACATTTTAAAGGGATAGCTCACTCAAAAATGTTGTTCCAAACCTGTATGACAGTCGTCCTGTTTACAATGACTTTTCATTCTTTTTACATCACAATGGATGTGAACTGAAGCCTTCAAGCTTCAAAACTGACATAAAAGTGTCTTACAAGTGGTTTTTATGACTTATATGCCAATTCTACTGAAGTCATAAGACAGCTTTGTTTGAGGAACACATCGAAATTCATTATTTACTGATAATTTTCCCTCACTTACAATCTGTTTAGTGTCATAAAATTGAATTTGTGAACTGTGTTAGTCTAATTTATGAATTAATCATTCAGATCGGTTTTGTGAACGGCTTATATGTTGGTCTATTACTCACAAAAAAAGTATCGGATGACTACAACAATCTAGGAACAGTATTATGATGCTTTTGCCTTATTTTGAAGTTTGAAAGCCTCAGTCACTGTTCATTGTAATTAAAAGAAAAAGAGCAACCAGAACATTCTTCACAATTTCTCTTTTTGCGTTTCACAGAAAAATGAAAATCATACAAGTTCATAACGATATGATGTCAATATCAATTTTTGGGTGAAATATGATGAGCGGTTCTCAACTGGTATGTCTCTTCTGATGGGGTTGCAAACAGAAGCGAAAATGCAATGTTAAATGCAAATAACAACAGAATTGTGCATAGTTTGTGTAGAAAAATAAACAAGCTTATCAACTTTTAAGAGGGAGGAGAAAGCACTTCCCAAATCGTTTTACTATTGCCATCAAAGGCTGTGTGACTAATCAAACTCTACGGTATTTCAGCACACATTTATCTCTAACTTTGTAGAAGCCAGACAAATTTAACAGATGCCAATATGAGCGGCTTACACAACATGCCCTCATTCTGAAAACCATGGACAAAACTAAGCAAGGTCAAATAAAAGCGTTAGACACCACGAAAATTCAGTTTTGGGTTCAACTGTTGAGTTCCAACTTGATGTCCAATGCAAAGTCCTGAAGCAAAACCAGTTGAGAACCACCCGAGAAGCACTGTGGTCCATTGCAAGACAGAAAAGTACAGAAGAGTAGGTAGATAAAGAACAGAGTCTCACCAGTCCGGTGGCAAAAAAAACAGCAAGCAGAGCCAGGCATGCTCCCATGACGATGAGCAACAGGAACACGATGAGCGGATGCTGCTGGCTCATACGGTAGTAGGACTCGTACACCCAGTCTGGAGACTTCAGCCCCCCGGACGACCCCACCATGTCCTCCGGACCCTCCAGCAGGTACGCCGTCTGTTGGAACATGGGGTCCGGCTGGACCCCGGAGCCTTCGTCCTCGTCCTCTTCCTCCTGCTGCTGCCGTTCCGGTTCGTCCTCCTCCGTGAGAGTGCTCAGCTGTGGCGGGTGGGACAGATGCGACCCGCGCCAGGGCAGGAGAGAGAGCGCTGCCGCACGCAGCATTCTCCAGCCAACATGATGAACTGAGCAGCAGAGAGCGACTGAGACACTCACAAGAGAGCACGTGAGAGTAGGAGAGAGAGAGACGGAGAGGGAGAGAGAGAGAGAGAGAGAGAAAGAGGGGAGAACACGAGTGTTTGTTTGACAGAGCGCAAGCTCTTATTACTGACTTCGTAGAGTCTGTGTCGGAGAAAGGAAGAGAAAGTCTTCAAAAGAATGTGAAGGGAAGAGAAGAGGAAAAGGGAGGAGAGAGGAAAGGGAGTGGTGGGCTTGACAGAGATCCAGCAGGCGCAGTATAATGTTTGCTATGCAGCGCGTGGCAGGTTCAATGATATGAGTTAATCAGAGATGACTGATTAGACAACCCAGAGGAAAATGTGTCGCTCAGATGTTGCGCTTTCATACCTCAGGAGATTTTCCCATAGTTATGCTTCACTGAAGTATCAACTCTGATTCTTCAGATATTTCTTGGGTGGAATTCCTTGAGTAGAAATATATATATATATATATATATAAATAAATGAAAATAAATAATGTTAATATAAACAAATCTACATCTAAACATTATAAATTATATATAATATAATAATATAAAATTCCTTAGATAATTATATATATATATATATATAAAGTTTCTTAGGTGAGAATATAAAATAATAATAATATAATATATATATATATACACACACTCTTAAAAATAAAGGTGCTTAAAAGGTTCTTCACAGCGATGCCATAGAAGAACTTTTTTGTCTAAATGGTTCCATAAAGAACCTTCAACATCTGAAGAACTTTCTGTTTCACAAAAGGTTCTTTGTGGCGAAAAAAGGTTCTTGAGATTATAAAAAGGTAAGAAAGAGATGGTTCTTTAAAGAATCTTTGACTGAATGGTTCTTTGTGGAACCAAAAATGGTTCTTCTATGGCATCGCTGTGAAGAACCTTTTAAGCACCATTATTTTTAAGAGTGTGTGAATATATATATATATTCACACACTCTTAAAAATAATGGTGCTTAAAAGGTTCTTCACAGCGATGCCATAGAAGAACCATTTTTGGTTCCACAAAGAACCATTCAGTCAAAGATTCTTTAAAGAACCATCTCTTTCTTACCTTTTTATAATCTGAAGAACCTTCTTTTCACCACAAAGAACCTTTTGTGAAACAGAAAGTTCTTCAGATGTTAAAGGTTCTTTATGGAATATATACAGTGGGTACGGAAAGTATTCAGACCCCCTTAAATTTTTCACTCTTTGTTATATTGCAGCCATTTGCTAAAATTATATATATATAACGATATAACGATTATGATATTTATTAGCTGAAAAATAAAAATAAATAAACCGTACATCATAATATAAATCAAATTTAAAAATAAATAAAATAATAGCTAGTGTAGGTAAGATAATTTGGTCTTTGGTAAAAAAAAAATGTTTTAGTTCATACTGATGAACTGATTTCAGATTTTTGAGAGCCTTGGCACTGTTCAAGACATTGAAAACTCTAGTATGAAACTCTAGGAGACAAATATGAGATTTAAGAAAGACAGTTTCTGCCTCAGAGTAAAAAAGTGAATTATGATTTCTGTCATGACATCTCTCGAAGGGATTGGCATGGTAATGTACATGACAATGTTAATGTATTTGGTCTTGGTGGAATAGATCTGCTATGACTTGCTACTGCCAATACATCCACAACATACTGTTGTGAGCATGTAAGAAATATTGCTGCTGCAAATATAACATACCTGAAATAACCCCATACAGCATACATGAATCACCTCGTAGCAGATCAATACAGGTGGAGCTGGGGAAGGTGGAGGGTTTCTGAAGCAAGCTGCAACTGCTACGGCAAGCACTAGTCATATATTTGAATGTTGAGCAGTGAGCTCATTGGTTACCGATACAGGAGAGAACCAATCAGCTGTGCCATGTGATAATGATGTCATTAGGTCAGATTGAGTTAGACCTATCGGACTGCGCCATCTAGAGTTTCATGCCAGAACTCTGTATTTGTTTCTTAACATTGAGACTTTCGATAGTTTTGTATCTCACAATTTTGACTTTATATACAAAACAAACATATTTCTTTAACTTTTTCCACACAAATACTTTTTAATATGTTGGCTTATAAATTCTTAATAAAATAATAAAATAAAATCTTAATAAAAGATCTATTTCTCAGAAATAAAATCTCAGAAGTAGCAGCCATTCGCTAAAGTCTCCATTTGCTCGATATAATCTCATCTGCATCTGCAGTCTAGGAGAAACAATGGGGGTATTAAAGAGCTCTCCTTCATTTTCCTTTCCTATGGGGAGAGACTTACAATAATAACAGCATTAATGGATGAAAAACCAAAGACAACAGACTGGTTGAAAAGAAAGAAGAGTAAACAGGAAACATGATAAAACATTTCCTTGTAGCTCCTGTCTCCAAAAAGGACAGGATCCAAGATCCTTGTTGGTCCTGGAATAACATTCCTGTCAAGGTTTAACTTTAAAGTCAAGCTGTCTTTGCTCATCTCGCAACCCAACCTATACTTTGCTTCTGATTTTCGAGGCAGCTAATGCTTAGAAATAACGGATAGGGTTAGGACTTGACAGAAGATGCAGGAACATGTCGTACATGTTAAAAATCACAGTCACCAGCTGTTGCTCGTTTCCTTGCGAGTCTCTCAGAAGACTCTCTTTATGTATTAAGTAATCCTGTTGTATTCCAAAAGGTCTTGTGAAACTGTGACCCCTCACTGTGATTAAACTCTTCAGAGGGAATTAGCAGGGGTGTGGACTCGAGTCACATGACTCGAGACTTGACTCGGACTCGAGTCCCAAATTTTATGACTTACGACTCGACTCATATAATTAAAGAAGACTTGAGACTCGTCTTAGACTTTGACAGCAATGACTCGAGACTTGACTTGGACTTGAGCCCTATGACTCGGAAAGACTTTATGATCATTTCAAAGTCGTTATAGATGCATCCCTGCAGCGTGCTTGTGCTTGACTGGCAATAAGCCAGAGACTGAATTCAGGGAGCGCTGGATATATAGCCTAGGCTAGTAAAAATGAATGGAGTAATAGCATAACTTACAACCAAAAAACAAATTACATGATTTGTCTAGTAGCGATCTCCGCTCGTGAAAAACTTCACTGGTGCTCGCCTCATCATCACCGTGACCGCTGCTGTTAAATATTCCTCACTTCTTCTGTTTGTCCGACACCAAGGTGCTCCATGAGTGAAGGATCCGCATCCCGCCACAACCCTCGCACTCTGCCAACTCGATGTGCTTTCATTTTCATTTGTAATAAACACCTCTCTGAGACCTGTTTTTGTCAGATCTCCACTGTTTTTGTTCGATCAGTTACATATTTTAATTGCATGTGCATTTTATTTTATTTAAACCTCCATTAAGTTTAAAGTTAATCTATAATCGAGATTTAAATCTTAGTTTAAATTTATGGTCAGGTGCGGATTTACCCATTAGGCAAAGGTAGGCGACCGCCTTGGGCCCCCAAAAGCCAAGGGCCCCCTAAAATGCTTTTCATATAGGATATGCGCATTAAGCACGGAGACGCGAACGTTTGCTGTTTACGGTGTTTATTACCACGACAACCGTCCAAGTCAGTGGCGCCTGCAGGTGTGCGGCACTGTGAGTACCATGAGCACTCAGACTGACCTCAGATTTGCCCCGCAAACATTTCGACTGAACCCATGCCCTTAATTATGAATTTATCAGTCTTTTGCATGCCAAAGTCAATTTCTGCATAGAAATATTACGCCAAATAGAAGCAGAAAATCGTGCTGTACGCACTTTCATAAGATCGGGTTAGCCTACAACAATGAATTTGTTGGCTATTATACAAATGGGAATACAACGAATTCATGACAATGTTTACATTCAAGCTACCCGTAAAATTTATAGTGAAAAGTACTTTAAAAGCATCTGGAATGCAATAAAGTAATTTTAAAGCTGTTTTTTAAAGCATTTGCAGCATTGATAAAAAAATATAAATAATTAACATATCATACAAAATTGTGTTGCAGCAAATCCTTTAAATTTTAAGGTATTCAGAACAGAGCAACATAAAAATCTGAAAAAGCAGCTATACAATTATAGGACAA